TCCAAAGCATCTTTTATCGTCGTTGCTTGTCGAGCGGCGTGAGCATTTGCTACTCTGTTATCCTTCTGCTATCTGCCACATTTTAATTCTTCATTCAATTAGTACTGATTTTTCGTCTTTCTGAATATTTTCTTCGGTCACGACCGTCACTGGGCATTCCTGGCGGGAGTCATCTTCACAGGTCTCTCTTCCTTTGTCGAAACAGCCGAGCCCATTTTCTCATCATCGTTTATGAAGTGGCAGAGTCCTGAAGAACCGATAACATCTCTGTAAAGATTTCATATTACAGGGAATTTCATCTCAGCTTGGTGCCCCATGTCGCCCCGCCAGGTATCTTCGAAATGGGAAAAGAATTGTGAAGCAATTTTGACATTATTTGACATAAACCGATAATGGATTATTCCTTGCTACTCATACCACACAGACGATAATGCAAGAATTATGGAAGAAATTTCTGAAAACCAGACCTGAAGGAGGAAGATAATAAAAGACGCTCTGTGAACGCTGAGTTCCTCCTCCTATTTATGGTATGCGTCTTGTTGTTTTTTCCAAACGGCTGATGGTTGATGATTATATAAGGAGCTCTCGTAGGCCTTGACATTCCCTGCCGAGGCGCGACCGCAAATAGAAAGCATAGCTTAATTTCTTATTTAAATTAATTTTCCACAATTCTTAGATTCTTAATTGTGCCAGGACTCGAACACTGGACGCTCGCACCTGAGTAACCCCATCGATTCTTGACCAATAAGTCAAATCTTCGCTTTGTCGGATTCACTTCTAACTTTCTTCATGTACGCAGACTTATGGGGAGCGTAAAAAATGCCTGCAAGGTCAATTACGCATTAATAAATTTGTGTGTGTGAATAATGAGTTTTTAAGCTTTTCTTGCCTGCAATGCAAAATCTTATCTATCATCTTGTCGTCTACTGCCCCGGCATGGCTGTCAAACGCAGTTAGGGCAAACGCCAAATTTCGTAAAAAGAAAATGTCTTTGTATTTGTGAACAAAATGAAATGCACATAGAAATATGCTTAATGTACAGCTATGGACAAAGATTTCGCGCACTAATTGATTGCGGAAAAGAATGCTCAAGGAAAAAACGTATTTATTAATTCATAAGACTCTGAAATAACTTAATTTAGATGGTTTATTATTTTAAAACAATTAGTGAGATTCCGCAGTGCTGCTTTGGTCACAATTTACTTTGAACTAAATGCTTGTTGCGCACTTTCATTGATCTGTAAAAAAGTAACTATTTATAGAGGTTGGAGTAAGACTCATTGGTATTATTATTGATTTAAGAATTGCCTTCTGGAATACGCTTTTTAATAACTGCTTCAAACATGCATGACAAGCTCCACCTGCCCTAATGTATAGAGTTCCACGCATTCTGTGCTCCTGTCTAGAGTTCGTCACAGTTTTAATTTTTTGTGTTTTTTATTGTCCAACTTCAGTTTGTACATCATTCCACAAATTTTCGATTGGGTTTAGGTCGGGACTTTGAGCTGGCCAATCAAGAACTGGAATTTTTTCTTGACATAGCTGGTTGCTGTATGTTTCGAATAGCTATGGTGCATAAAGATCGAGTAAAGTGGCATAATTTCAAAGGAATATTCGGAGATATGCAAATTTATCCATTAATCCTTTTATCTTAACCAATGGTCTAACACCGTGCCACGAAAAGTTCTCCAAACTTTTAAGTTTCCTTCACCGTACTTCACGGTTTTTTTGTATATTTCTGTAGGGGTAGGGGTGGTTGTTTTGCGAGCCGGGGCTTTACGAATTTCGTTAAGAGATAACAAATTGGCATTGGGTTTGCACCTTTTTTATAAGGATCCCAAATAATAGACATTCTTTTTTCACCAGAACAGCATCTTCGTCGAAGCAACAACAGCAAAGGAGATATGATAACGGTACTTTTTTTGGTATTTGAGAAGAGTTTGAGAGTAATATTGGCCTACCAATCAGAAATTCACGAGAGTCTTGCTCTCGGAAAAGTAACAGCAATTTTTCAAACTAGTGCCCTAAAGCCCTGTCCATAGCTGTATATGCACCAATCTATGCACTAATCTATGTACATTTCTATGAGTATATATATACATACGTGTATATGTATGTATATGTATTTTTTTTTTTTGTTTTTATGCTACTTTTCGGGTTCATTGTTTGCATTAGTTGCAGCAATTTCTCTGGCTTGTTTCGCTGTTGCCAGCAATGCCATTCATGAATTTCATGTTGCCAGAAACAGGCACATGTTCATATTTCAAGCGTATCTATGTAGATGTGTGTACACACGGGTATGTACATAATCACTAGCAACACAAGCTTTTCTTTCGGCGGAATTTTCGCTTTTGAAATTGAAATTGAATTTTTTTGCTTTGTTGCAGTTTTGTTCGTCAAACAATTTTTGCATTGAACCTTAAAGAGAAATATTATTTGCTTTGGATGCTTTGCTGATTTTTGTTTTGTTTTTTATTTTATTTTTAAATTTTTTGATTTTAAATATCAGGAAATTTGTTTTTGCCTACATATTTGAGGTTAAAGTCTTCACTTTGCCTTTTGACAATTTAATTGGTTTTTTTCTATTGCGCTAACTGATTTTAATAAGCTCAAAGGAAATTCCTGCAAATGAGATACTTCAAAACGTCCAAGGTCACATTTCGAATAAAACAGAGTCCAATTTACATGAAAAAATTGGAGTAGAATTGAATTTTCTACATCGCTGCTGTGGCCATATAAAGGAGGGGGCGATTTTTTTCAATATGTCGCTGAATTGTACCTACCCCTTAATGGGGATGAAGGACGATGTCTAGCGTCTGGGTATGCAGTTACAGTCGCGGGGCTATACTCAATTCCCACTCTTGCGTCCACGTACAAGAAGCGGTTACCAACCCGTGAGAAAGTAGCTTCAGAGGAGCCACTCCGACTTATTCAGCTTAAGCGTTCACCGTAGTAACTACTGACTACTAACTTGGCTGCCTCCTGATCGAAAAACACAAAACCAGATTGATCGTGTTGTGATAAATGGAAGACTTGTCTCCGGTGTTCTTGACGTGCCTATACTGCGAGGACCCAACATCGAATCGGTCCACTATATTGTTGCAGCGAAGATACACAACTGAAACTGCCAACGAACCACCGCTACAGAAACATTTGGATTTCGGCAGTGAAGGAAAAAAGAGCTTAGACGATGAAGAATGTCGATTTGCAGTGAAGAGAAAATAGACTGCCAAACTCAGAACCCTTCGATAGACCACAAAGCATGTGGGAATGGAGTTGCATGTGCAGACAATGGAAAAAAGAGACCTAGATGCGTGAGTATTTTGAGCTTGAGAAACTGGCCGACAAGGGTAATGCTCGATAATTCTACGAAAAGATACATTGACCTACTGTAAGGGTGACCTAGTGACTGATATCCAGAGTAAACTGAATTTATGGAATAAAAAAATTCCCCCCCCCCCCCGCTAAATGGTAGTGAAAATGTAACAGCCGGGAATGGGGAACCCGAAACCCTAATTGATGACGATGGAAAAGACGACGTTTCATTATCCGTCTATGACGAAGTTCAATTAGCGATTGCCCCTTTAAAGAACTAGAAACTGGCTGGAGCTGACGGCCTACCGTCAGAACTATGTGTTATAGCTAACAAAGTGCTTACATCAGCTCCTTATCAGTGTGGCTTTAGATCTGAGAAATTCATCATTGGCAATTCTTGGAAAATATCCCCATCTCTTTGTTGATTTCAAAGCAACCTTTGGCAGCACGAAATGGAGCCGCCTCTATCCTTCCACAAAGAAAGTATCTCCTTATCTTGGCACGACCTATGCAACTGCTACCATCATTCAACAAAGTCTTCGCATTCGGCCATATTAATAACTTCGTCTATCTTGGAACCAGTATTTTAACCAACAATAATGTCAGCCAGGAAATCCAACACAGAATCACTCTTGCCATCAGTTGCTTCTTTCGACTGAGTAGACAATTCAAAAGTAAGGTCCTCTCTCTCCGAACAAAGACGGAACTGTACAAATTAGGCATCGTTCCCGTGGACAATGTCAACATCTAATTAGTAGAGAGAGCTGTACCATATGGTGGCGTTGTCGTAGTTCAAAAAATCAAAATACCTGCTACGCCAACTAGCTCATGTGGTCAAATTGTATAATAACAATGTAGGCTTGAAAGTTTTCAATTTAATATCTGCCGGTAGAAGTATAAGAAGAAGAAAAGCTTTAAGCCCATGGAAAGATCCGATTAGATTAAGGTATGTCCAGCTCAAATCGTCATCAAATCAGGTACTTCAACCAACCAAAACAATGTTTAAAAACCTTTAAAAAACGCGCTATATATACTGAGTCTGAAGAAAGGCTATTCTAAAAGATAGCACATCTGTTTCCATATACGAAAGATATCGATATCTTATCGGTTCCGATAAAACTCACAGGAATGGCTGGGGCAAGACTGTAATCACCTAAACATGAACTAGAATAATAATTAAAGTTGAATTTTGGAGAACTTCAGTTTCCCTTAGAGAACGCCTCCATTAAAAAGGACTCAAAAATTCCCACAGATTGAATAATAACTGCAAATCAATGGTTTCTTAAATGTTTGAAATGAGTTCACATAAAAAGGAAGGAAGTAACAGGAAAGAGCTGGTTATGGGTATTTCAAAAACTACTTAAAACCTTAAACGTCAGTTTATAAATTCCATCTACCCGTAAACTTAGTTTTCTCTTAATGAATTCACCGATCTAATAACACAAAGATAAGCGATGCTGGACATAAATTTTTCATGAAAGGTTCCATATAACAAACAAATTTCATGCAAACAGAATCATTTCACTCCGGCGCCATCTAGTGGCAAAAACGATCAAAATTCCGAGTCCAACCCGGTTTGATATAACAAATCGATTAACAAGTTTATTTATTGAAATAGACCAAGAACGTTTAAAAATCAACTGTAGGAGCTCTGAAAAGAGCTTGGAGACATTTCATTTCGCCAATTGACAAACAGAAGTTTGAGAACGAAAAATTTTCAAACGAATACATTTTTTCACAATTTATTCTCACCTACTTTCCTGCCGCTGCAAAACGTCGAAAATCAATTAAAATAAATCAATTATTCTTGGCGCTTAAAATTTTCCGAAAATCAGTTAAAAATATTCCTTAGAAAATTTGAACTCGCGCAAAAACGTTTGGAAAAAAATTGCTGAAACCAAATTTGAAATAGAACAAATAATTTCACAAAAAAACTAAAGATACATCGATGGTGGTGTGAACTTGGAAAAGCTGTAAACTTTTAAGTAGTTGTTGTACTAAAGTCTTATCTTAGCGTCTTTTCTTCTGAAAAATAACTAAGTGTGATAAATTTTTTTGAAAATGTACCATGGACTCACCCGAACCGCTTAAGACGCATTATGTGCGTTGTTTGAAATGCGGCGAAATTCTCGAATGCTCACGCTACGACACCAACGCTCTGCTTGAACACATTCGTACCAATCACACTGAAGTTGAAATTGTTGAAAACGGTATGCCGCTTAACGGTCATACTACAATACGCGAGGCAGCTGGCAAAATAGTCGCGCCGAATGATACGAACAACACGGACGTTAAGAATGCCACAATGTTTGAACGTGGCGACGCTGGCAAACGAAGTGAGGATTATAAAGATTTTCAGCCACCTTCCACATCCTCACGCGAACGCCTGCACATACGCTCCCATAAAGGTATGTATGTATACTCGTAGTTCATGGTTGCATGCGTTCGAACCTACACACGTATGTATGTATGTACATATATCACTAAAGGTCTCTTTCAAATCCCAGTCGATGGCTCACAACGTGACTTGTCCAACTGTGATCAAAGCAACGGCACCAGCGCTGTCTACACACGTCGCTACCAAGTGAATATACCCAGTCCACCGGCATACGACGAGAAACCCAGCCGCAGCCTCTACCGCACCTCCATCGAGAAGTGGCGTCCGGCCAACGGCACCATTTACTGTCCAAAATGTGGCGTCAATCGTCGTCCACTCATACGCACGCAAGCCGAACGCAGTTCGAATAATTCTTGTTGCGCCGCCTGCATTCTTGGCTGTTGGCCCTTCTGCTTCCTGCCCTTCCTGTTGCCGAACGACAATAAGGAGTATCTGCATTGTTCAAATTGCAAGGCCTTCTTGGGTTTATATGATCGCACCAATAATTGTGTCAGACCGAATCGCGAGTATTGCCAAACGGATGAGACGGTAATAAAAGAGACGGATATGCGTTTAGAGGATGATGATGGCAAAGACAAACGGAATTGTCGTTGCGCGTGAAGTGTGTAATTTGTATATTTTTTGCGTACTTTTTGTGAGTAATTCTTTTATAGCACATAACATGTTCTTCGGCATTTTATATATAAAAAATAACTTTATGAGAGCTTTAAGCTTACGAACTTGCATTGAGCTTTTATTTATTTTGTGCATTCTATTTGATTGTAATTATAAATATTTTTGTGGATTCTATTCGTAAGCGGACCCAATTAAAAGCTTTTAAGCTTTGAGCCCACATTGATTTTAGGCTTTTATTTCAAGAAAAATATTTCCAAATGCTTCCGCCTGTGTTGATTTGCAATTTAAATTCACTTTTCTTTTAAATAATAATATATCTCTCTTACTAGATTTTATAAAATAAGAAAAACTTGCGTTGAGTCTACTGTTTTATGAGTTATTAAAAGTATAATATAATATAATAATATAATTATATTTATAATTTTTTCTATTTAGTCAAACATCTCCTGCTAGTCCCTCTACCACTGCATCACTTGACTTCCTCTTGTACAACTGTTGTTGTTGGTGCATTGGTGGCTTTAGCTGCTTGTTTCTCAGCTTTCGCCGCGGCGCGTTTCGCTTTCACTTTCTCACGAGATTTTTGCACTTTCGCCGCACAGTCCTTCGGTGGTGTCTTCAGTGACATACTATCACTCGCAGCCATCTTGCGTGCGCTGCGTGATATACAACGTTCGCTGCAATTTATCGGTACATAACGGCCAATGTAGCAACCACAATTGCTGCAATAATGATTGATATCGGTGCGACGTTGCCAATTTTTACTGTAAGACAAAGGCAAGAAATCAATTGATGATGAGTTGATTTACTGATGATAACGAGCTGAATTTTAACTTAAATTATTTGATTATTTTTCAATTAATTTTTTTTTAATTTATCAAATTTAGTTTATTTAATTTTTCCATTAAGTTATTTTATATAATTTTTTATTTTATTTCATTTTATTATATTTTATTTATTTTATTTTATTTTGTATCAATTTCTTTTATTTTCTTTTATTTTATTTTATTTTATTTTATTTTATTTTATTTTATTTTATTTTATTTTATTTTATTTTATTTTATTTTATTTTTTTTATTTTATTTTATGTTATTTTATTTTATTTTATTTATTTCAGCTTATTCCATTTTATTTTATTTAATTTTTTGTTTTATTTTATTTCATTTTATTTTGTTTTATTTTTTTTTCATTTTAGTTTATTTTATTTTCATTTTAGTGCAGATAATTTTTTTTTATTTATTAACACCCACCACAGTTTGGTAACGTTGAGGAACCGCTGCAGGCAAGTAACTGCTTCCAAACGTACCGAACTGAGTGCTTCGACTTCACAGGCAGGACATTTGACAACCACTGGCTTTTGATCAAGAAAACCAATGTCATTCAATTCGATCGTTTTAAGAATAGGTTCCTCTTTAATTATCACTTTAACACATTCTTTTTCCTCGACCGTCATTTTGTATTATAATTTGTTCGTTCGTTTTTGTTATGGCTGCAGAAACATAGTTTCTTTATAATAAAACAAAAAAAAAGTGTGTGCCTTTTGAGCTCTTAACAAATACTAAATTGGAAATTTGTGTCGATGGAGTGTGCAAATGCTGTGGGGAGTCCACCCACATATCTGACAGATTCTCGCTTGCTCTTTTTTGAAAAAATTGATAGGCTAGTGTGAGATTGGTGTTAATTTCTCCTACATCTTTCTGTGCGCAGGTGGTGCTTGTGAGTACTAAACTTGGCATACATACATATAAGAAAACGCTGATGAACTTTTTGCTGCTTCTCGCGTTTGCTCATTGTTCTCTGAAAATTTTCTGTTCCGAAATCTTTGAATTGCAAAGTAATCAATCACTTTACTTTCACAATTCGCATATATGAATATTTGAATGATAAACGTATTTAAATACTGAAGAATTTTGTTGTTATCCCAAATATAAGGTGCTCTTTGAAGAAATTATCAATCGGATATCTAGAGCTCTAGTCTCAATACAAATTTTTCATATTCATATTTACATACATATATGTATGTGGATGAGCGCAAGTTTATAGGCAGGGAGACATTCGTTTAAATTATAGATATATGTCATATAGATATATGTAGATATTGGTAGACATTTGGCACACGTACATGAAATCCATTGACTGCTTCAATATTTGATCGGTATTTTTCATGCGCAAATTTCAATAGAATTAATTTGTCTGGATTTTTTCTTTGCTCCCAAAGTGATCACCATGACCTCGCCCACTTTAGCCTTAATAGAATTATTCTAAAAAGTGCGTACGGTTTGTATGTTTGTTTGTATGTTAAAGTGTGTAAATGCCTTTAATATTTTCGTGGCATTCATGGTACATACATACATACATATTTATAATTTAAATGTGTGTACTTCCAATATGCTCATGGTCAGTGGAATTTTATAGACCCAATTTGAATTATTTTTTATAAATTACTTTATACATACATATACATATAAAAAACCACGCATGAGGTCTATTTCAAGGGCAACTGCAATTGAAAATTTGATGCTCATTTTCCCGTCAATCAGTCGGCGCTGATATAAGCGCTTGACTTATCACTTTAAATTATTGTTTTCTTATTTTTTAATTTTTGATAATTAAATAAATTTATAAGAAATCATTTTTAGATCTATGGAAAAATGTTAAAAAATCCTATTAGTAATATTCTAATCAATATGTATGTATGTATATATTCATAACCAATTACTTTATTAAGCTCAGAAAATCTGCTCGTGTAACTACATAAGTACATTCAAATTCTTGAGCTTTAAACATCTTCAAGTTCGTTACTAATTAAGTAATATATTTTTACTTTACTATAAAAGTTCTTTATATCATATTTTCTCACTTTAAAGTGACATCACCTACACTTGTCATTCCTTCGTAGGCGAGCTCTTCTTCCATCAAAATGGTAAAGAGTATAATTGATTTTGTCATTTTAGTCTAAGCCCACAAAGATCATTTAATGTGAGTAACTAAAAACAACAATGTATATATACACAAAGAGAATTTAAAATATTAAAAATGAATAATCCAAAAAGGCGATAAAAAGAAAACTTATTTTAGCTACTTTTCTATTTTTTTCACCGTTTTAGATTCCATTAAATCTCTGAGAGTATCCAGAAAATAAAAACGGTACGTAACTTACTGCAAGAGTAGAATTATTGTATATGAGATCCTTTGACTCCTAACAAAAATATATATTTTTTTAAATAAAATTTGACGAAATTCCAAAGGTATCAGGACAGGGTTTTTCTCCGATAGGAATCAAACAGGTGTTCTGGTGAACCAATTTGCAGAGTTCTTAGAGGGAAGACTTCTACACCATGATTGGGTGGTAACAGACATTAACCTTCAATCTGCAAGAATGGCATAGACGTTCCATGGCCCGACTATGGTGAAGCTCGAATAGCATTAGCGCTCTTAAATAGCAACAAAGCGGCAATAGTCGAAAGCTTACCGGCTGAGATATTTAAATATGTGCCGAAGAACTCATAAGGGGCATCAACTTCTTTGCATTATATGGATATGTTGATACCTCACAATCTGCACCAGTCATCATATAATATGCTCCCTAATAACGCGTGTGAAAGACTTACACCCATCGTCATTGGATTCCATAACCACCTTTTGGTGAATTTTAAAGAAATTGATCCTACTTATTTAGGTTTGAATTTAGTAATCGCGCAAAATTTAAATAACTGTATAAGCAGACGCTGAGCAATAACTTAATTTGCGTCAGGCTCGGAGATCACTTTTGTAAACGGTTCTGCGTCAGACGAAGCTATTGATAGGATTACTCTCTTACTCTTACTAAAAAAAATGTCAAGCTTAAAATCCAACGCCGAAATACTCCTGCCACTCATGTACTACTCTAGAATTAATAGGCAATTGAAAAGTAAATTCCTCTCTCGACGAGCAAAAGCCAATCTCTGCAAGTCGCTCTTTATCCCCATTCTACTTCATGGTGCAGCAGAAGCTTAACATCCAGCGCAAGGAGTTTCCGAAATAGAAATCTTTTGCAGAAAATTTATAACCACAGCGTATGGGCAACTACGAATATCATTGACGATAGAACATTGATACAGTTCAGAGAGATGGAGGGAAATACTCATGCCTTGAAAGTATTAGATGTTGGGCCCATCGTTAGAAGCAGAGGGCCTCTTTCTCGATTCTACTTCAATATGAGAATGAAGTAATTAACTTTTTCAACTTCCTAAAATGAAAACATTAAGTTAAACACTTTCAATCATTCGGAAATGAACTAAGAGAATTTCATTCGTAATGCCAATTTGACAGTTAAAAACTATTTGGAAAACTGAGGGTGGAAAGCTCTACCTAACCCGCCTTATAGCCCAGACTTAGCAACTTCCGATTACCACTTGTTCAGATCAATGCAGAATGTCCTCACCGGAGTACGCTTCACTTCAGAACAGGGTATCAGAAATTGGCTCGATTCTTTCTTGACCTCCAAGCCGGAGCAGTTCTTTTGGGATGAGATCCAAAAACTGCCAGAAAGATGGGAAACATCGGAGCTTCCGATGGGCAATACTTTGAACATTAAATATATAATAATTTTTTCACAATAAAGTCTTAATTTTCGAAGAAAAAAACCGCATGAATTAAAGCATACACCCAATAATAGGAATGTTTCCAAGGGTTAATCCTGAGGGCAATGCTAAGCACTCACCCGAAAGTCGAAATATCAGCCTAAAATGTGGTTTTAAGAGTAAATGACTTCTATATAAGGATAGTTGAATTCATAAGTTAAAAGATTCAATATGATACAATGAATTAAATACCGTCGGTACATTGAAAACTCAAGTCTTTTATTTGAACCCTTTTATTGAACCCGTTTCGTAAACTTTACTAACTTTCGGAAGACTTAGTCTGTGTCTGTTACTTGCAGATGGCTTTAAATGATGTTCCCACTTGGGGTAGACTTCTTGCTAGAGATAGGAGATCTTAGTTTCGATTTAACAGATTTAGACTTAGCCAAATAACATTTTGTAAAAAAAAACGAAATAAATTGGAGAGTAAAAAAATTGTCTAGCATACAATATACGGAAAAAAATTGCAAAAACAAATCCCAAAAATAAAATTTAAGTACAAAAGAACATCAAATATTTTTTGAATCGATTCGTTAAATATTCGCAAAGTGCTAGATCGAGGCACAACAACTATTGTTTATTATAAAATATACACAAGCATATTTACAATTATATTCAAGCTTAGCCATATTGAACATATTTGGCATCTTTTTGAAATATTTAGCAATCAGCGCAGATTTCACAAAACATTCCACACAAAAATCATTATTTCGAAATAAACCAAGAAATGTGAAAATAGAAAATTATAATTAAAAATATTTGATCAGAGTGGCAAACCTATATACACAAACTATAAGTAAACCACAAAACAGTTGCAAAGCGAAAACCACAACAAATATGATTAAAAGTTTTTAAAACCATTTACGCTATTCGGCATTTGTTTATATTTCATATATTTACATTCAAACCAAAGGCATATTTACACATGCATAAGCAGATGATTGCAAATAAATGCAATTGAATTGAGAATCTATTATTACCGTTAAAAAATTAAGCGCAACTACGTTATACGTTATAATTAAAAATTGATTTGAAAATAATATGAAACGAAATATTTAATTAATTAAATAATAATAAAAATAATAATAATAATAATAATAATTATAATAATAAATCAAACAATAATCACAAATAAATCTTAAAAAATTAGTTAAAAAGTCAAACAAGTAATTGAATGACATGAAATAGAATATAATTAAATTAATATAAAAAAATCAAATAACATAAAATAAAATGAAAAAAGCAAACTAACAAAAAAATTAAATAACACAAAAAAAATTAAAACAGAAAATAAAATAGTATAAAATAAAATAAATTAAAAATTTTATTATCACTTTAAATAAGATATATTAAGGCATCTTAAAAATAAAGTAAAATAAAGTAACATTAAATAAAATAAAATTATATTAAAATTAATTAAATTAAATAAAATTAAACTAATATAAAAATATACAAATAAAATAAAACAATAAAGCAAAAGAAAATAAAATAATATATAACAAAATAAACTAAAAGATTTATTATTACTTTAAATAAAATATATAACGCATTTAAAACATGAAGTAAAATAAAATAACCGAAAATAAAACAAATAAAATAAATTAAAATAAAATAAAAATTTAAATAAAATTCGATAACAAAAAAGAAAATAAAACTAAATTAAAAAATAATAATAATTTAATAAAATTCCTCTAAACGGGAGGAGGAGAATGTGAATGTACTCAAATTGCGCACTAGGCTCGTTGAAAAAATTTATGGCCTTTGCCCAATGCCAAATGAGGCACCTGACGCTGCGCAGAAGTCAATAAAATATAAAATATAATAAAATAAAATAAACTTAAGTAAAATGAATTAACAAAAAAAATAAAATAAAACTAAAAAACTTAAAATAATTTAAAAGAAATAAAAAAGTAAATAAAATATAATAAATTAAAAATAAAATAGAACAAAATAATTACAATAAAGTAATTAAAAAAAAAATTAAAAATACAAGAAACTAAAATCAAATTAGATAAAATTAAATTAAATTAAATATAATACAATAAAATTAAGTGAAATGATTTAAAATAAATTAATATTAAGTAAAATTAATAAAAAAAATTTCATAAGTAAATAAATTAAATAAAATAAAACAAAATAAGTTAAAGTAAAATAAAATAAAATGAAGTGAAGTGAAATCAAATAAATTAACATTAAGTAAAATAATAAAAAAATGTCATAAGTATAAAAAATTAAATTAAATAAATGTTTTTATAAAATTAATAAAAATATAATAAAGTAAAACAAAGTGAAGTCAAATCAAATGATTTTGAAAAAATAAAAATAAAATAAATTAAAACTAATTGAAATTTAATTAATGAAATTCAAAAGCTTACAAAATTTAATTATATTTATATATATTTATTTCATTAGCAATTCACTTGTAGATTAATAAATAAACATTTACATTTTACTTAGATACATTGTATATCATGTTTACATTTTACATGTGTAATATTTTCACTAGTTCGCAGAAAAGAAATCACTTCACAGTTGTGGCCTCCGATAGGTGCCCAAGTACTCGCCACACTCCGAGCAGTAATGGCGCCGGCTGAAGCAGCGCAGTATTGGCCGTAGCATCACTGTTTTGGCCTTTGCCTGACAATAGGGGCAAGTGACATCATGCGGCTGGGGACCGACTGCAAAATATGTTGGCTGCGGTACGATGGGTAGCTTTTGTTGTGGTTGAACCATATTGGCAGGTCGTCGACAAACTGTGGTGAGGAAAAAACATTTGCGCACGAAAAAAATAAAACATTGTTTGAAATACAAAGCAAAAAAGATGTGAACAAAACTAAACATCTAGAGGCAAAATTAAAATTGCCGCTGTTTTCGAAAGATTAAACGTAAACAGCGAAAAAAATGCGCACTTACTTATACTTATATATGAACACGCATGTGTCTATTCGAACAATTTGATGTATACTGATTCAACAAACCATAATAAGAACATACAAGAACGGCTAGCAAGCAGCTGAGCAGAGCTACAAGCACAACCACTTGATCGTTTGAACATTCACTGCCGCTCGTGAGCACCGTTGGCTGTCACTCCCACATACACATGTTCATATGTATGCATGGTGGTAATGGCTCATAAAAACATCAATTTGAAAAAGTGTGCCTGCTATGCCGCAAAACAATAACAATAATAATAATAAAGCCAAAAGCTGATGAGCAATTCGCTAACAACCGCCAACGCCTCGTCGTCAGTGGGCACTCAATTGGCAATTCGCAAGCAGTTGCTCTACTAGACGGCATAAAACACTCGCAAATACCGCACCAAACAGCCGTCACCGGTGGTCGCCTTATTTTGTGTATATTTCAGTGGCTATTTTTATGCCAGCGAAAATTAAAAAAAAAAATGTGATACTTTTCATGCGATTATTTTCACTTCATTGGAAATTATCTATGCTCAAACATGGGTTTTTCATCACCCCTCTGCTGATATTTGACAAATATACAGATATGTGAAGCCCTCCGGTTGTATTTCTGACATGAGATCCTCCTTCTCCTCATAAAAGTCAATCAGCTATTCGGAAACAGCTTAGAGTAAATTGTAAGTCCATCCATTTGAGAGGAAAAAACAAAAAGACGCACACCACAAAGAGGAGGAAGAGCTCGACCAGAGTCGTTTCCGCATTCGCGAGGTGGTTTTCTCTTCATACTAAAGTTCTATTTCTACCTCTAGAGGGTCCTTTTGGTCTTGACATCCGACAAGATATTTTTTGTCGATGAATGTCGCAAGGATCTTCTCGTTTCCGTTCTTGGACTGCCCGTACATCGCATTTTTTCCCTCGTGCCACCGAAATCCATGACCAGCTGGACTAGAGACGATAAAAATTGGTTAAGGTGCGTACTCCTTCACTTCTCATACGATTGCGATTGTTAAAAAGTAAAGAGTTGTGACTTGTCAAGTCGAGAAACGAATAATGATACAAAAGTCCTGTCATAACAACGCCTTGAGGACCATACCAAAAACTCTACGCCTGTTGCCTGTACACCAACTAAATATCGAAATATTTATTCTCGGTTTGGAAGCTACTACAGAGATTACCCTGATAGAAGGGAAAGACGACTACACGGGCAACATTAAATAACATGTAAGAAACCATTGGACGCGACTGGATACTGATACTTCTTGATCGTCAATTCTATATCAGTAGATGACGTCATCAGAATCCAACTATCACCTCTAGTAGGCGAAGATCTTTAGCTGCAACCTGAAAACCAAGTAGCAGTGACACTAAGGTTAAACTCCCATTTGTCCAAACCAGACCCCGGTATACCCAATATAGTCGTCTTTCAGAATCTTATCATCCATATATCCGTTTACCATAGGTCCGCAACTGTTGAAACAGTTGGTTTTCTAGATTTTTCTTTAGCTACAGCACCAACACACCAACGACGGAGAGGTTATATAGTGTGTGCTGATATTTTTTTCAGAACTTGGTGAATCTTGCCTTTAGTGGATGTGTAAGGTCTGGAAGCGAAATATTAAGCTCAGAGGTGTTTCTTGTTATTGGGTTTTAATCTTCATACAAAACACTCGATAAGGTCTTATATGCGATACAGGGGAGACTTATTTCAGTGTCGTCATCATTTGGAGATTCGGTCCATCACTTTTAGGAATTTATAACTAAAAATTTAGTGACATTTTTCCAACAACTTAGTAGGCTGCATACGTGTTCTCTGGCCATCAATCGCAGGGTGAACTCCTTGAATCCTACATAAGTGTACCTTCGTGAGACAGAGGTATGTCTTGAAACTCTCTGTAAGTCAGCGTATCTTTATATTATATTTCTCCTTCCGGCTAGCTGTTGTAGCTATATGTTTGCACTTACATATATCGGTCTCTGGCTCTTTATTTGTATTTGAAAATATATCTCAAATCTATCTTTAACTTCTCTCTTTCACTCGAATAGCATTGAGGAAATACCATTAAATAATTTACCTTTCCATGCTTTGATTTTATGAATTCGCCATGAATTTTACGTTTTCTTTATTCTGATGAAAATAATTCATTAAGAAAACCAAGCAATTTCAGATGATCTTGACATAGTAGCAGAAAACCAACCAAGAGAAAGAAAGGCGAAAAATGGAAAATGAAAAACATTTCGTCAATCCAAAACTGAAATAAAAAAAATAAAAAGAAAAGAATTGCAAACATATGTGAATCAACTTTGAACAAAAAAGAATTATTTATCGACAAGCTTAATAAATTAAAATTAAATATTGCAAAATTCGGCGTTAAAAAATTGCGAAATTCTTTTATTTTATATTGCACGTGCACTTTTCTTAAGTATAAAATGCACATATAAAAATTTATATGGTATTATACACATAATTTCAAAAAGCTTATTGTATAAAAATTAGACGTAGATATATGTAAATAGCTGTAATTTTGTATAAATAAAATATCTATTAATTTTTTATGATATTAAATATTTATGTAATTTTTTTATTAATTGCTTATTTCGTTAATATTATAGTTCACATTATTTTAATGTATGTAATTATTATTTTATATTTTATTTTCACTATTTACTTATTATTGAAAGCAGGAAACAGAGGAAAGCAAATTTGAATGATTTTATTATATATTAATTTATTTTATTTAATAATATTTTTAATTATATTATTTTTTTTTTATTTTATTCTATTTTATTTTATTTTAATTTATTTTAGGTTATTTAAATTTAATTTAATTATTTTATTCTGTTTTATCTTCTTTATTTTTTATTCTATTTTATTATATATTAATTTATTTTTCTTTATTTCAATTTATATTATTTTATATAATTTTATATGAATTTATTTTATTTTATTTATTTGTTATTTTATTTTAATTTATGATATTTTTCCACTTCTTTAATTGGCCCCCTTGGCAGTAAAGGCATATTATGTATGAGTATGCTATTTTCGTTTGTGTAAATGTATTGTAGAGCTGAATAATCTACTCATGATTTGTCGTTGAGTTTTTTCGGTTTGATTGCTGAATGTTTCATTGCACGTCCAAAGTAGCAGCCACAGTTCTTACAATAATGATTACGATCGGTTTGTTTACACGGTATAAAGTAGTCCATACAAAAGCAACAGCAAAATGTGCTAAAAAGTAGAGAGAAGCAGAAAGAAAACTAATTAATGCAAAATATCTTTATCTTTATAATTTTTACGATATATTCTCAGAGCCTCTATCCTCCCTAAGGGACTAACTGATTGCTAAAACTTGAAAATTTTTAAGGCCTCCAAGCTTTTTTAGCGGATAAATTATTATTTTTGCATGGCAAAATTAAAAGAAAATTAAGTTGATATTTTAAATCACTTTTCAAAATTTCAAAAACTGATTTTTAGATTTTTAAACTATCCCAAAGATATTTTTTTTAATATAATTGGATGCTAAGGCATAATTTTCGAGATATCCATTTAGAGTATAGAAAGTTTCTTAAATTTTAAACATCAGTCATTTCACTCTCGATATTACGCATGAATTAATGAATAATCACAGACTTACACCCATAAACAGCCAACAAAACGATTAATCTCCGTCGCCCACCATTTCATATCATTCTCGACTTGTGTCTTTTCAACAATACCGCAAGCGGGACATTTCAACAACACTGATTCCTCTGGCAAATTGAGGTATGTGCCAATGAGTGGTGTGGCGAAATTATTATAAATCTGCTGCTCTTTCAATTCCTTTTCTGTCAGCTGCTTTGGAGCTTTATTATCCGTTTCGGGTGCGACCGCCGCGGGTGTGTTGTTGCTATTATCAGCGGCAGGTGTGTTGGGAGTGGTATTAGATTCGGCCATCATATTTTTTTATTGCTTTAATAATATAGCTTATTATTTTTAAATCATCAATTTCATCAATTAATTTTGTTGATTATTATTTTTTGACTGCACACGAAAATTATTTAGAAAAAAATAGTTACTTTATATACGAGCACACGCTGATTCCGCATCCGTCAATAAAGGCAACGTACTAAATTTATTTAGCCAGCGCATAGGCGGTATGAGGTCAACAATGGACAGCAGAGCGTAGTGCGAGTGTACTGAGAGATTTAATATGTTATACTCAATGAGACAGTATTATTGAGCTGTAGGAAAACGAAAGTTTTTACGCGAAAAGATGTGGGTGTTAGGCCTCTCAGTGACACGATTCTCACCGAGAGATCGACCACTGGTTGATTAAACGTATTGACCGAAACTCTCTTTGAGCGATGCCGCACTGATTTCAATTTAATTTTGAAAAACATTTCTTTACTTTATTGTAGTTTAAGTAATGTGTTTATTTATTAAACAAAGCTGTATTTTGAAAAAAAAATCAACGGTATTTATGAAGGCGCGCATTGTAAACAAATTATATTTATGTATTTATTATTGCATTTTTACTACCATAAACACTAATTTCCTTTTTGATTTGTTATTTTACAAGAATTAATTAATTATTTTCGCGCTTTCTCATATTTTGTTAATGAATCCGTTGTTTCGTTATGGCATTATGTACGAGCATGTATTATTTTTTACTTACTTTAACTGTGTTTTCGTATTTTTCATTTTAATTATTTAGCTTTCGTTTACTATTATTTCCATACCATTCATTTTGGCCTCTGTTGCATACCCAATTTGCCACCACATTTGCTGCAGTAAATGCCTTTGGTGGTCCACTCGCGATTGCAGCCACACCAAGTGCATATGCAGCAGAGCCAGAAAATAGGGAAGAAGCTGGAAATAAACAAAAATTAGTAAAATAACACAAATCAAAGTAAATTAAAATTTATAACGAAAACAAAATAAAATAAAATCTAATGAAATGGAATAAATTAATATATAATAAATCAATGGGAAATAAATGAAAGGAATAAAAATTTATTGAGTAAAATGAAATTAAAAAAAATCAAAATAAAATAAGATACAATACAATAAAAAGGAAAAATAAACAAAAAGAAGCAGAATAAATAAAACTAAATAAAACAAAATTGTATTTTATTTAAAAAATAATAAAGTTAAATTAAATTAAATAAAAAGTAAATTATAATATAATAAATTGAAATGAAAAAATAGCATAAAATAAAGCTAAATTAATTTAAATAACATTAAAAATTAAATTAAATTAGAATAAATTAAATGAGATTAAATAAATTTATACTTAAAATTACATTAAATACAAATATAGCAAATTAATAAAATTACATAGAACGAAATGAAATAAAATAAAATACAATAAAAAATTAAAATATTAAATACAAAGCAAAATAAAATTAAATAAGGGAAAATAAATTAAAAAAATATAAATAAGATAAAATGAAATACATTGAAATGAAATGATATGAAATGAGCAAAAAATAAATTTATTTATTATTAATTAAATTTAATCCAATTTAGGAATATAAATACAAATAAAATTAAAAAATAAAATAAAAAACCAATTAATATCGAAGGGAATAAATTTAAATTAACTTAAATTATATAATGAAATAGAGGAAAAAGATAAAAGAAATTAAAATTAAATTACATTACATTATATAGACTAGAAGAAAAAAATAAAAGAAACTAAATTAAATTAAAATAATATAATTAATTTAAATAAAATAAAATAAAATAAACAAAATATAATGTATTAAAAATAATATCAAAGCAAATAAATTTAAATTAAATTAAATTACATTGAATAAAATAAAAGAAAAGAAAATAAAATAAAACAAAATTAAAAAAAAGTTAAATTAAATTAAATATAAATAAAATAAAGTAAACAAATTGAAACGAAATGAAATAAAATATAAAAAAACAGTAAAATAATTCAAAATAAAATAAAATAAAATTATATTAAATAAAAATTATAAAATAAAATTGCATGAAAGTAAGACGAATAAAAGAGAAAATAAATAAATTAAAATATATTAAAATAAAACAAAATAATTTAATTAAATTAATAAATTAAATAAATAAAAATTAATGAAACGAAACGTAAAAGAATAAAATAATATGTAATAAAAAAATTTATTATAATAAAATAAATTAAATTGAATTTAAATTAATTTAAATAATTATTAATAAAAAAAATATATATATAATAAAAAAATGGAAACATATAAAATAAAATAAATTTAGTAAAAGATAAAAATTAAAAGAAAAACTTTAAACAATTTTCAGAAAACAATGTGAAATACATGAAAGGAAATCAAAATAGAGAAAATAAATTGAAAGAGAATAAATATAAATAAAAACTTTAAAAAATATGACTGAAGTAAAGTAAATAAAAACAAGTTTGAAATAAGCATAAAATTAAATATATAAATATAAATGAAGTAAAATACATTGTTTTACATTTCATTTTATTGTACATTGTTTTACTCACCAGGACAAAGTCGACAGGCAGCAGCTCGCATCCTTTAAACCTGCCGCACGCATCACAGCCGCATCACCATACTGCTCACATAGCGGACACTTGGTGTGATAGGTACGCGGTCCCGCCGAATAAAAACGCAAACGTTTATGGCCAATTTTTGGTGGTATTGCTGTGCTGGCCAATTGTTTCTGTGTCACTTTGTTAACACTGTTGGCATCGTCTATGTATGGCACGACCGAAGTGCGACTCTCCAGCACAACATTTGCGACAATATGTCGTTTGAGCTCTTCGGATGTTTGCGCCGGTATCAGACGGACTTTCACGAGCTGTGGCATATCTGGTGCGGTTGATTCCATGGTGAATTTCAAAATTTAAAACAGAATTTATTGATTCTTATATGTTAAATATCGTTTGTGTTGTTGCACGTTGGAAAGGCGACAGTGGACTGTTGTGGGTGGAAGGTACCGTCAGTTCAATAAATGGCAATTTCACATTCACAGCTGATCTGTTCGAGAGAGCGTTAGTAGATTTTACTGCAGCTGGAGAGAAGTATTTAGTTTTTCAGTTGATGTCACTTTGTGTCAGAGAAGTTTTCATATCACGCCGCTCTCAACTAGTCTTCTCTCTTTGTGATCTTCTCTCTTTGTGATGTTCCACTGTTAATAGAATTAAACAATTTTCTCGAATTGCTACTGTGAGGTGTGATGTCATTGGTGCTCAGTGTATGTAATTGAAGAAATTTTTTTGTAGAAAATTTTTCGTACATTCCGTTGGGGAAAGAAAACGCGTGCAGAAAATCACGCAAAAACAAAAACACTCATTCACACATACATTATTATAGCAAAAAAAGAATTTTAGCTAAATCGTCTAACTGTTGCATAATACCGAGCAGCAGCAACGATGCATATTGGAATCTTAGAATTTCAAACTTAGTAAATTAATTAAATTTAAATTAGTTACAAATGTTTTAATAAGTTAACAAATAAGTTCGTAATCAAGTAGGATGTTCGCCACCTCCACTTTCGGAACCAGAGGCAGTTTTCTTTAAGATCTTCAGCTCCAAACGATCGTAAGGTATAATGAATGAGTATTTGGGGTTATTGCGCGCTAGAGTTTCCGGACATTAAATAAGGGCAGATTGACTGAATCTTGTGCGAGATGTTAATATACTGTAAGTTAATTTGCACAAATATTTTTTTTTTTGTTTTTTTTTTATATTTGCTCTGGAAATGGTTATGTTGGGCTGATGCATCTGGTATTGTCACAGATTCCACTTACTGAACTTTCTTTCAATATTTAGTAGCTTATAAATATCATAACGTGGTATCTTATACATTACTCTGACAAGGTGAGATCTCTTCAAATGTACTGCACTGGCCTCATATTGTTGAAGTACAGTTAATGGCAGGCCTAACTAGATCAGTCCAAAATATATCGCTAGAAAAATCTATTATCGTAAAATAAATTCTCTGTTCACCGAATTGTATAGCCTTGATTTGATCGGTCGGCGACGTGTCCGTGAAAAAATCACTCGATCCAATCTATCGAACAAAAAAAAAGACTCTAATGAGTAAAAAATCCATCACAATAATGGAGTGCGTACCATTCGCTACCATTCGGGATCACAAAAATATGGAAAATTCATTTTACAAACTAATTTTTGCTAATTACGGTCGCCTCTGGGCAGGGAGTATCAAACGATATCAGGAAGAAATAATGAATTTTCTTCGAAAACAAGTAACTTTTCCTTTCATCAAAGGTTATATGATCAAGCCTATTATTGTACTTGTTATATGCCTGATCCTTGATCATCAAAACTTCGAATAAAATTTTGGCGCGACTATAATCTCACCGATCCAGAAAAGGTTCCAGTGGAGGAATTTGGCTAGTCTACTAGAAAATTAACGCCCGCTTTTCATCGAACTTCACCACCGATTTGAGAATTGCGTTTTCTTGTTTTTCCTGATCTCTCTTGGCAGTACACTTTTACGGTGAATTAATGTTTATGTCAAAAATTTACCCGAATATATGCAAATTCCCTCTGCTAATCATTTAGAAAAAAAACATTTTTTAAATTTTTGACGAAACTTCGCTGCGAAACAAACTCTAAACATGGATACCCAGCATACCCCAGACTCTCATTGCTACCCAATAGTTTAAAAAATTCCATATAAAACAGTTAAGTGAATATTTTTTTATTATAAATAATTATATTACAATTTAATTAATTACAAAAATCTTTAATATAATATATTTATTTTATAGTTTTTAATAAAATATTACCCTTAAGTGCTTTCCGCATTCGTTGTTGTTAATTTATCTTTCTCCCTCACTTGTTGCTTCGCCAATATTTTATTATCGAGCGCTTCCTTTTCGACTTTGGGAAAACGCTGCCATCTGTTCTCGAAAACAACATCCGATCGTTGCATTTTGAACAGCTGCCTTTTGTACCAGCTCAGTGTTATGTAACGGCCAATGTAGCAGCCACATTCGCTGCAGTAGTGATTGACGTCATGGCGACCACTCCAGCTTATGGGATTGCTTCAGGCGATGCATGGAAGTTTAATGAAAATAAAAACAAACGAGCAAACAAACATAAATTTGAGAAAATCATAAATTTTATGTAATAATTAGAGCACAAAGAATGTAAACACTGAATATGAAAGCTTAAGAATTACTGTACATAAATGGAATAGAATGGAATTGAAAATTTATAGGTAGATTAATGTATTTGAAGCTATGCATAACAGTGAATTTTGCAAAAGTACAATAAGTTCAAATTTAAACAAAAAAAAAATTTTAAAAAAAAGTCAAATCAGTCAAAGGTTTAATTAAAAAAATTCAAAGTGAATCGGCCCAGAAATATTCGAAATTATATGAAAGTTCCAATTTAATTTAATTTTTTTAAATTAAATTAATTTTTTTTTTAATTTTTAAGTTTAAGATCTCTATTTGAGCCGCTCAGGGCACACATCGACTAACTCCACTTTTTGAAAAATCTTAAATTTAAGTGTCAGCGCCATTGGTACAATCTAAACTTTTTATATTTATAATAACTTTCCTGAATACTAAGGATTAGCACCGTAAAACGGCACAGTTTTTTGGCCATTAAATAATAACAAATTTTTTTCAGAACCCATTTCGATGACCGCTAGTATATCCTCAACTCTACTCACGATACGGAAGAAAAATCAAGAATAAGACGATGATTTGAAGTTTCTAAAAATTTGCTTATGAAAACAGTGAAGTTTTAAATAAACAATAAATATAAAAAATCCTGGTTAACACTCGATTTTTCAAAAACATTTGACACCGTTAACCATTCAATGCTACTATCGAACTACCTCAGTGGTCAACAGTTAACGATAGTGTTTCGGGGTCCAACTTCTGAACTCCGAAAAATGAAACAAGGGATTCCACAAAGGCCGTGTCTTTTCCATCGTATTCCTATTTTACGCTTCACTACCAGAGGGTGTTTACTCGGTCTTATATGCTCAAAAGTGAACTGCTATCACACCAATATTTTCAATCGGCTAATGTTTCACTAGCAGAACGAAAAAATGCCTGTTCGACATTCAGGTTATAAAAGTACGTTGCTCCGAATGAGATGCCGGAGACTTGGTACATCAGAAAACTACAACTTGACTATACCGATTCCACAAAGCAATTTAGACAAGAAAAGTTGGATAGATTGGCGTAGCGACAGGCTTAAACGCCAATCACTTACACCTTGTCAAAACCTTCGAGAACTCTCTTCCTATGAATGGTGTTCCTGGAGTTCAAGTATCAGCTACTGCAGACCAAGAACTCGAGCTATCTCAAGATACTCAATTGATACTTGCATTATTGAGGTCTGAATACCATAGTCGACTTAAAACTGACCTATCCAGGCTTGCATGCCCCGCAAAACTAACTCGAAACAGCCCGTTTTCTGGATCTTTCATTATATAATCTCGCCACCTCTTTAGCGGGATTAGCGAACCACTAAAACAATCCCTAAAATTTTAATTTTTTATTTACCAATTTCTATTTCTATACCTTTCAAAGGAGTCCTTCCTAGATATAAAACGCTTATCGAACGCGACCCTTTCATGGGCCTCTTCAATTTAGGAAACAAAGAAACGTTCCAAGTCAACTTAATCTATACACAACCTCAATAATATTCTATTCTTACCATGATAATCAGAGATAACAGTGAAAAAACTTTTGAAATACGACCGAGAAATGTTCGTCACCAGTTATCACAAGAACCGTGCTGACTTCAGTCAACAACTCCTAAGAGATGTCTGACGAACTTTAATTTCAAACAAGGGCTGGATATCCCTTGCCACATTGCAGCCGCTACGATGTAGTTTCTGCGTTTGTGTCGAAAAATGGTGTTTGGGTATGGCCGCCTCGTTTAGCCGATTTAACTGTACCTGAATTTTTTATTTGGAGGTATCTAAGAGATAAAGCTTACGCCAGCAAGCCAAAGTTAATCGACGAGCTGTTTTTTGGGTATCGAATGAACGTGGTCATTTAATCGACCTTTATTTCTAAAACTGTTTTGAAATAAATCTTGCTCATTTGTCAAAATTGGCTGAAAAATATCAGAGTTCCTCAATGTTGCAAAACGGAAGGTCTAAATGGTGCACCCTGTATAAATGCGTAGTTATGTATATTAAAAATTGCTTAAAAGCTCCACGAAGTAAGCAACTCACACCTACATACTAGTACAATACCAGTTAATTTATTCCTACTTTTACTGTTAACTTTTTTTTTCAATGTAAAAAAATCTTAATAACTAACTTCCTGCAAAATATGGGTTCCAATGCGACACACTCTATGGCTAAACTCTTCATATATATATATATATATGTACATTCGTTCACTGTGATCTCACCATTGCTTACCAACAAAGACAAAAATTTATTACTGCAATAACTTTCTGCATACATGTCACCGCCTGTCGCTCCACGGTGGTTGAACATTTCTTGCCACAAGCGGGACATTGGATATCCACAGGCTCCTCCAATAAGTGACCAATATTGGCAGGTAACACCGGCAGTACATCTTCCACTGCTCCCTCATTTGTGTCAATTGTCACAATGACAGTTTGTTGTGTCGACGTCATTTTGGACAGCTGCGCTGCGCTGCGTCGCGAGTGTTTACGAGTGTGACCGCGTGTGGGTGTCGCAAATACTATTTTTTGGCAATGATTTTATTATTTTTATTTTTTTCTATTTTTTTAGAACTTCGTGTTCTCACTTTGTGTTATTATTTCTACACTTTTTTTTATGGTTTAAAAAGAAAAATATCCACAACACGACTTTGCCGAGTATTAGAATAAAGCAAACATTTCGAATTTCGCTTCAAACGCCTTACGAGCAGCACGATCAACTGATGGCAATCGAATTACTAATCGCCGCCATTGCTGCTGCTGTTGGTGTCGTTGCTGCCATCACCATCGCTCTACTAATGTTGTTGCTCTGCTTGCCTTTTCGGTTGTGTTGGGACCGCTCTTGGCACTCAAATGGATATGCAATGAGAGAGCTTAACTATAACCATATGTGTATAAATTATATTACATATACATATTTACACATATCAAACATACAAACATCAATAATTTGCAGATGTATTTAGGCAACATTTAAACAACGGAGCATTTTCGTAGCGAAAAAGTATTTTGAGATACTTATTGAGTGCTTTCTTTGCTTTCTGTTTCTTTTGCTTTTATTTTGTGACGCTTTTGGTGGCTGCGTAAGTAGCCATCGTCTGGGTCGAACATCTGGGCACAATAGCAACAGTTGTGTGATGCTAAGGTAAATGTATATATACATATATATATTATATATATATTATGTTATGATTGATATATATATAAATTCATTACAAATCACTGCTTCAATATTTAAATTTTAATTTTATAGCGTATTTTATTTACTACTGTTTATGTACCGCTCGATTAACACACACACTACAGTAAAATATTTTCTACATAAAAATTACTTTTAAGTGTATGTATGTATGCACTCACAAAAATTTGTAGATATTAATCGAAAAATAAGATTTAATTCATCTGAATTAACACTTCATCTTCAAGATATCGAATGATTGAGAATAACTTTACGTTAGACTTTATCTGACAGATTAATGGAGACGAAACATTTTTATATCGATTACCAAAGTCAGAAAAACATGTGTAAATGTAAATTAAATGCTGGCTCAGAACTCATTCTTAACATTTCAAAGCCAGTTTTAGCGTACTAGTTAATGACTAGTTCTAAACGTACTGGTTCAGAACTAGTTTTGGTATACTAGTTCATAAATAATATTATTTGTTTCAACATTTATAAATATAATATATTATATTTCGGTAGAACTAAATAATATATTAAGATTCATATGTACATCTATGTAAGTGATTGTCATAGAAACACTCCAAGAAACATAACAAATAATATCCTGTAGAAAAGGTAAGGTACAGGTCTCTTACCATAGATCGTCTGTTTTTTTTCTTTTGCCACAAATGAGCTGAATTTGTAGCAGAAATTTATACTTCTAAATTCAAAAAATCATCCGAGAAACGGCACTTGGAGCGAGCTTAGTGAAAGTGGTATGCCAAAAGACGAACCCCAGAGGGTGGAGTTTCATCTCTCTACTACTTTGTTGTGACGCAGTTAGCAAGTAGCCGGGGCTACGAGGTGACAGCCAATGGAAAAATTTCCCAAGCTTAAGTGTTTGTTTTGACAACACTTTTGCAACAAGAAATTCTGAGAGAAATAAATGAGAGCACTTAACAGTTCGAGACCTCCTCGCCACTGCAATGTCAAGCTGAACTTACTGCATTAATGGAAGCAGCTTCAAGGTAACTCAACTCTGGTGCAGCATCTCAACCTGTTACACTACCTCAAAGGTGGCAATAAGATATATAAAAATCTTACACAATCTGTTGGCTGCTTGCGAAACGAACGTGGTTCGGTTCCCTGGTCAGAGAGATATCCTTGGAAATTTTATCTCCAACGAACTAGAACACTGAACAACTTTGACCAGTAAGTGCCAGATGGCAGGGTGAAATCATAAGCAATTTAATAAGGCCTATCTGACCATTGCTCGATACAAAAAAACTAACTCTGTACTCCTTTTAAGGATAAACTTTTCGGTAGTTTAGTTTCAGCTGACAGATAGCAACTTCAAATTTACCGAGCAGAAACCTTGAAGCTCTATTGAAAATATTCTTGAGAGCAGAAGTGAAAGTCGTGCAGAAAACCGGCTGTCTATTGTCTCAGCCTCTCTCTCCCCACGAATCCGACAACAAATTTGATTTGCTTTTATTCTTGGACGAAGGCGATGGCTGCCTTTAGTCTTACTAGGATATCAACTAGCTAGAGAGCAGCCCCTTCTCAATTAAGGTATCGAATATTTCAGATCGCTATGGTCATTATCAAAAGTGCGGTCTTTCCTCTGAGGTTATGTTTGCACCGTTTCATTTTAGACCGTCCTAAACTAGATATTTCTTGACCACCCAAAGCAAACTTTGTCTAAGACCAGAAGTTTAGACACCTCTTCACCACTCTCCATTTTTTACCTTTTCGAAATAAATCAGAAAGCCATTATTAATTGATAGTTTTGAAAAAGAGTGGTTTTAGATGTGCGGTTTTCAAAGAAGAAATAAAAAGCTTATTATTTTTTTTCACTTAAAGAATAGAGCTTGTGCTTATGCCGAGAAGCCCAATTTTCGACTACGTTTTAAAGCAATTGGGGTAGTAGTGAGTGGACAAAATACTTCACCTACCTTAGAGGTCACGGTCACATCACCTGAGATAATGCGCTAAGTCTGAAGTGTTGGAACCAAAAGTTGTCCACATCAACATCGTACAATAAAGACACAAAATAGACATTAATCATGGCTCTATAATGTTCCCCATTGACTGTTGCATTTTATGTGGCTTCATTTTTGAATAAAAATAGACCAAGAACACTCTCTGCCTGTAGAGCACACTAGCTAATCACCCTCTGAGGATGTAGCGGCGTCCGAACAATGGCTTGTGGATTATCATCACTCCAAGTGAGACAATTTGGTTTATTAACGTACGCATTCAACCAAAAGTGAGCTTCTTTGCTGAACACAAAGTTTTCTTGTGAAAATTGGGATCGGCGGCTGGCGTGTTTCGCATCTATTACGTGCGACGCGTTTGATGGTCGTTCGTCTTCAATCATTGTATGAGTTGGATTTTTTAACCCGCAAACGAAGATCCATCTACAAAAGCTTCCATTAAGTGGATGGGCATAGCTCCAACTGTTGGGCGTGTCACACGGCTCGTCTTCGAAGATGCGCATTATCCCCTAGAGTAAGCGTGGTGCATAATCGGTCCATGGTTGCTCGATTTACCCACTCTGCTGGGCGCTTACGCAGATGCGAACAATTAATTTGGAAAAAATTCGCCCGATTTGCAAAAGTTGCTCCAGAGTAAATCTGTTCATTATAAAATGGTAAGCCAAGCAGCAGAATATAGATCAAGTAGCAGCTGTAGCTAACCAACTCCGAAAAACCACACTTCTAAAAGAAGACCCTTTGCAGAAATTATAACGAAGCTTATGTCTGTTTTTGATTGGACAAAAAGGAAAATTTAATTCAATAAAAATTTTCGAATTCTTCTACAGCTTCTTTTTAATTGCTGCTCCTCTTTTTTGCCCGCTAATATACTTATGTACCTCCTTCTCTAGTCTCATTAACAAATGAAAATAGATTTGTGACAGCGCGATCGTCGATGCGAACTCACAAAAATGTTCTTATAGAGAGCACACGAATAAGTTTGACGATTTTTAATTGTTCAAAATAACTAAAGTAGATTTTGAGTCAAACTCAGTTTTTTAACGATAAAACTAAAAACAAAATTAAATGTTGTTTTAGAAAAATTATAATTAATTATTTTTTATTAACCATTTTTAATTATTTTCATAAAATATGCCTTAAACTATTAAATTATTTTAATTACAAATTTTTATATAAAAAATTTATAATTGCAAAAAAAAATTCCGAGTACAAACAAAAACATCAAATTCAAATACATAGTTTCTTACTTATATATAAATGTGTAAAAAAAAAATTTAATAAAAAGAAACAAATATTTGTCACACTTAAGTAGGTCGCCAGAAGAAGCCCAAATGACCGCCACATCTATTGCAGAACATGCGTTTGCTCTTCAAGCGACTCTGCAGGCAGAGGTAAACAAACGAAAGTGAGAATATGGGGAAGCAACTAGTAAAAGGCAAGCGCATGTAAATATAAAACAAAATTAATTGAAATTCATTTGAGTCACTCATACGCACCAGGATAACGTTGATAGCAAACAACTGAGATGACCGAGAATGCCGCTCATTTGCACAGTTTCGCTATCAGCGCGTTGCTTACAGAGCGGACAGCGTATCTGATACGTGCTGGGCCCAACACCATAGAATCGTATATGTGGCTTTCCATCATCCTCCTCCTCCTCCTCCTTTGCAGCTGTGCGCGCCCAAGCGGTACGCGTTTGATTGCGCCTACTCACTGACGACTCCGCCACACCCGCTTCGTCCTCATCAGCACCGCGCACAGTATCGCCGAGTACGTAATTTAAAATTGCATCAGTGGCCTGTTCGAAACGCTTCTCCGGTGAACTTGGTGTGCTGGGCGTGTTGGGTGATGAACTCAAACTTATTTCAATCATTTCAAGTTGGGATTGCATTTTTTAAAGATTTTCTACTTGCGAGTGCCAGTTCTTATTTATTCACCAAAACCAAATCACTTTTATTTTGTATTTTTTGCTTCGTTTTATTTTTTCTTTTAATTTTTTTTTTACTTTGGTTGATTTTTATTATTATTTTTTTGTTGTAGTTTTCTACTTTAGTTAATTTTCATAATAATTTTATTGTTTTTGTTTGTTTACTGCTTGCAAATCTTTAAATAATCCGAAAATTAGCTGCCAGCTGCGCCTGCCTTTATTATACGAATGAGTAGAGCCAACTGCTGGCGTGGAGATTAACCACAGCTAACCGAAACAGCTGAGGGATATACACATACATATAAAAATCAGTTTTTTGCGTTAGCCGTGGTAGGAGAGAGTGAAGTCATGATGGTATTTGTGTTAAAAACTTATACGAAATGAGTATATTGAATTGAGTCGAATGATATATGGAATACTGCTTCGTGAGAGAGTGCTCTCTTTAATTTAGTAAAAATTGAAAGTTTTTTTAAATTGCCACACTTTACCATTTATAACGAATTATGCACAGCTGATCTGCTCTGATGGCAAAATTCATTATTTTCTGATTCTAATATTTTCTAGTCTCTCCAGCAATTTTCCAATTAAAAATTTGTTAACCTGAAATTTAAATATTTTCTATAATTAGTTTACTTTTACTTACCATAAGGAGCCCTTTAAGGGGTTAGGAATCATGAGAAACATGATAAAAAGTAGACTTTTCAATATTTTTTAAGCTAATTAAATTTTTTTGCTGTCACCAGTTCAAAAATAATTGTTTTGAGACCACAACAGCTTAACGGCTCTTAATTAAAAAAAAAAAAGTATTTATCGATAGTATTGGCATTGCATACCGCCATTCCGAAGACCAGTGTACGCGTCATGGTTCGACCAACATCCATAATTCTAGAATATTATTTTTTCTAGTTTTGGTCACCCTTTGGTAGGGAATTTCAGGCCCTCCGAGTATAATTCTCATATAAAAAGCATAATAAGCTGTTCGGAGGCGGAGCCCCTCCATTTTTTAGAAAATATCAAGACCCACACCACAAGTTGGAGGAGTTACAGCAGTTACAAAATGCAAATTATGTAAACTGGATTTTCCAATAAAGGGTGTTATTTTGATATTCAAAGAAACTTATGAACCAGATGTCCAGATCATCACCATCCGATTCCATCATTAAAAAATCACTGGTCATACATCCATTCTTTAATTTTCGAAAAAGTGAGGTCCAATGAACCCGCTTGACCAAAAGCCGGGCCAAAGAGTTGAAAATGGAGTGGCTTTCGAAAGTGGCAACTTCTGGATTAACAGGCTATTCAAAATAACACCTCTTAGTGAAGAACCCTTTATTTATATTTATTATTATTTTATATGATTTTATTTTTGCGTAGGCCTCCAGTCCCACGACCACAGTCTCGGTGCTATGATAACTTGAATTGTAAACAGGTCACCCTGCAACTGAGAGGAAAACAAATTACAGATGATTATTGAGCAAAACCATAAGAAAGCTTATGATCGTTGTATCCGCTAGACTATTATAGTAAGTAAGGAGACGACCACGACAACACACTGCTTTATAACTAAGACCACTTCCGTATAACCGAGCTTGCATCTTAACGTCGTATAGCTACTATTCGTCTCTTAAGTATTACCGACAGGAATATGACAGAAGATGTCGCTATTTGTGGTTCTCTAATTAAGAGAACAATTTTGAGAACAGTCCGGAAGGTTGTACCTTCTCTGCAACTCTTATTATTATATCCTGCATTTCTTTGAGGAAATCCCACGATAAAGAGTAACGCTGCCTAAAAAACGGCTCGGAGAGGTGCTTCTGAATTCTTATAACGCCTCTGGTGTTATCCAACGGCAACTCACATAGCCATAAAAGTTTTTTGGGGATACCCAATTCAGACATAGCGGCGTAAAGGCAGCTCCTATTCGTGCTGTCGGAGGCGGCTTTAAAATCGACAAATAGGTGGTGTGTGTCGATCCTCTTTACACGAGTCTTTTACTAGATTTGGATCGAATGATGAATATCTGGTCAATTGTTGATTTACCCAGTTTTAAAGCTCGCTGCTAAGGTCTAATCAGTTTGTCAGTATTTTACATAATACGCGCGATAGAACCTTATTAGTGATATTTATCGAAATAATGTCACGGTAGCTGAATTGGGTAGAGCACACTCAGATTCCAATCGTCCGCTCTTCACCGCCATGTTTGAATAGTTCTGCCGTTAAGCCATCAGCTCCAGTCGCCTTGAACATCGTTATAGTCGGGCAATGGAATGTATTTTCCATCGTCATTGATTAGTGTTCGGGTTCTCCATCTTCATGCGCGACCAGACATTAAAAAACTCCACAATGTGGAACGGTCGCTCCTCCTGGAACCACTCTCGCATTACCTCAATGCCACTGTTTGAAAACATCTTCCTTTAATTCATTTTTTTGAGGTGGTGGATTTTTTTTTAACAAATGCTATGAGATGGCGATCGTGACTCCGCTTTTCATCAATACAGCTTCATCTGACACTGCGCAGTATGCCGAAGTTGCTACTACCGTGCACCGATCTTGATGTTATTGTAAATAATAGTAAGCAAATAAATATATATCTTTTTTCCCAACAACCATTCGTCAACAATTACCACTTAAAAACTAAATTTCATTGCCAAAAACAACACTCTTAAGTGTTTTTCTATGCAAAAAATTACATTTTAAGCACTTATCATTGTATGAAATTGTACTCCAAAATAATTGTAAATATACAAATCTTTGCGAAACCGCTTGTCATTGTGGGATTTGTTACCGTTGGTCAATCACATACATATACGCTGGTTGACCCAAATTTTTAATGATTGGGAGGGGAAAAAATGAGAAATTGAAAAAAAAGAAATATACAAAGGAAATTCGAACAATAGTAATGATAGTATAATATTTTCATATCATAATTTATTGACCGGTGGTCATAGTATAAGTGTTATTAAAAAACTCATATTATTTAATAAGTAAATAATGCTTATTTATATTATTGAATTTAATTGTTTGTTAATAAACAAAAGTTGTTATTGCAAATTATTTTTCAAATATTTAAAATCTAACGATTGTACGATTTAAAAACGTTTATTAACTCAAAATAAATCACTTACGTAATATAAATAATTTCCTTTAATTTTTACTTTTTTAATTTCATTTAATTTAATTTTGTTTTATTTTATTTTCTTTTAATTTTTTTTGTTTTGTTCGATTTTTTTTATTTTATTTGATTGTATTTTACTTTTTTGTTTTATATAATATAACTATATTTAATTTTATTATCTATATCTTATTAATTCTTTAATAATTTTTTATTTTGTTTAATATTATTTTATTATGTTTTATTTCGTTTTATTATATTTTATTTGCTTTCATTTCATATTTTTTTCTTTTTATTATTCTTAATTTTAAGTATTTTTATTTTTTACTTTAATTTTTTTAAAATATTTTTTTTATTTCATTATATTTAATTTAATTTAATTTTATTTTTTTATATATTATTTCATATGATATAATCTTCCAAAATTTTATTTGCATTACTTTATTTTATTTTGGTTTAATTTATTTTATAATATTTTATTTTATTTTACTTTACAGTAATCGTTTTTATTTTGTTTTATTTCAATTAAATATTATATATTACTTTATTTTGTTTTAACTAATTTTATTTCATGTTATTCTACCTTATCTTTTTTATAAAATTTTATTTTATATTATTTCATTTTATTTTACTTTAAATTATTATATATTTTTATATTTTTTTGTTTATTATTTTTTTATATTATTTTATTTATATTGTTTTATTTAAGTTAAAATATTTTATTTCATGTTATATTATTTTATTTTAGAGTGTTTTAAGAATTTTTATTTTATTTATTAAAAGCTTTTTGTTAGATATTTTTTTATTTCATTATATTTTTGTATTAATTTATTTTATTTTATTTTATTTAATTTTATTTTAATTTATAATATTTTATTGTATTTCATTAAATTTAATTTTTTTTAATTAATTTTTTATATGATTTAATATATATTATTTCAATTGAATTTCTCTTATGTGGATTTAATTTATTTTATTTTACTTTATACTAAGTATTTTTATTTTAATTTATTCAATAAATATATTAAATATATTATATATTACTTTTATTTCACTTTAACTTATTATACATCCATATTTTTTTGTTTATTATTTTTTTATATTAATTTAATTTATTATTATATATTATATTTTATTAAATTTTACAATATATTATTTTATTGTATTTTATCAAATTTTTTTAAATTAGTAAAATAAGATGCTTTTTTGAAATTTATTTTACTTTATTTTAAGTATTTTTATTTTTTATTTAAATCTCTGTATTATATATTTTTTATTTTATTATACTTTATTTTAAATCATTTTATTTTTTTTTTACTTTAAGTTATGATATTTTATTTTGTTTTTTATATAAATATTTTATATTATCTTATTTTATTATATTATATATTCTTTTATAACTTTTGATTTTATTTAATTTTATTGTATTTTAATTATTTTTTTTTATTTCACTTCAATTTATTTCACTGTATTCATTTCATTTAATTTGATTTTGTTTTATTTTATTTTATTGTGCTTTGATTTATTTCTTAAAATAAAAACTAAAAAGTTGACAAGTTATTTTCTTTAGTTTAGCCATACTAATGTTATCATGCTCACTGTTCACTTCTGCTTCCAATAACCCAAATTACCGCCACATTTTTTACAAATTACTTTATTGCCACTTTGACGCCGTTCTATCGCACGCTTATACAGGAACTTGAATGGAAATATGGGCAGACAACTGAAATTTGTTTAACAAAATAGTATATTTATTTCCACACACACGCGTCTCCCTAAATACTCCACACATCATATTACCAATATAACAAGCGATCATAACTGATGGTATCCACATGCAAACGCTGCTCACAATCAGGGCAATACATTTGACGTAAACAACTCAGTTCGGTGGGCGAACGGTATGCGTTGGGCACAAATTCTAGGCTGCCGCCAAATATGCTCTGTTTGTATGCCGTGCATGTGTTGCTTACAGTCGAGTAATTTTTAAAATGGAACAAACTTATGTTATAGCAACTGGAATCCATTTGGGGGATCTTTGAATCTACGATGGTATTTAAATTGACTTCAACGAGATCCTTCCTGTCATCCATTGTTAATTTTTTTTAAATAGATATGATGAAATTATAATTAAAATTCGTGTTACTTGGTCTTACACTTATCTAAAATCAAATGTATCTGATGTGAGTTAATATTTAACGGTTAAGCTAAACTTGGCCGAAAGCTTTGTACATTTGAATAAACTCCTAACAATAAACTCACTCACTCGAATATTCACTCAACTCTAGCGCGTAGAAATGAGCGGAGATTTATCTAAATCCAAGTTGAATAACTTAGTTTCATTTACAATAACCAAACCAGATCAGCTAAGCCTAATTAATTAATAAAACCAAAATTTTATTTTATTTTAATTTATTTACTATTTTTTGCATATATTTGATTTTATTTCATTTTTTTTGTTTAATTTTATTTCTCTAATTTATTTAGATCATTTTATTTTATTTTATTTTATTTTATTTTATTTTATTTTATTTTATTTTATTTTATTTTATTTTATTTTATTTTATTTTATTTTATTTTATTTTGTTGTATTTTATTTTATTTTATTATATTTATTTTACTTAATTAATTTTTATTATTAATTTAAATTTTTTATTACTATTTTAACGTAATTCAATTTTAATTTTTTTTAATTAATTTTTAAAGGTTCTTAACGTAAACTCTTTGTTTTTAATGTTTCTACTGATGAAAAATAAGAATTTTTTTCTTTGGTATCTCTATAAGTTTTAAAAATATTTAAATTGTGGATATCACCTTAAACAAATTTATTGTTTTCATGCTTTGTTTTGACAAGTTTAGTATAACGTCATTCAGTTTTTTTCTTTATTTATTTAATATTTATGTTTTTTTTTTTTTTGTTTTGAAAGTAATTCGTTAAAATGCCAAACTGAAGGATTGAAAAGTGTTTGAATTCAAGAAATATTTGGAAAACAAAAATTATTTTTCTTTTAGGCAAAGAACATTCAAATTATGTTCCATTCAAAATAAAATATAAGAAACATAAAATTTTGTTAAAAGTGAAGAATTTTAACATAGTCGTTTAACAAAATTAGCGCAATGTCAGACCTCGGACCGGTTCCAAAACGTATGAGATGTCCGCATTGTGGCGCCAATATTGTAACCGATTTAGTTCCAGTGCCAAGTATGAGAACACATATTGTTGCGCTGATCCTCTGCTTTTGTTGGTGCGTAAATTTTTTTAATTCATTTCGAAGTAATAAAAAAAAAATATATATATATATAGATGGTTAAATAGTCCTACGTGTATGTCCATTGTATGATTTAGAAAATCACACATATTAAATAATAAGTCACGATGAAACCGATTTTGCACGCAAGCCAAGAACTTACTTGGTGACTCCAAAGCGCTTAGTTTGAGTAAAATACGTTAAAAGCTTGTGTCGGTTGTGATATTAGCTAAAACTTCAAATCTTCGTGGTGGTTAAAGAGCTTTCTACGCACGGTGTGTTATTTACGAAATGTGGAAGATTTAACTGGAATTTTTTTTAATTTTGTTTATTTTCGTTACCGGTTTGAAAAACTAATTTATGAAAGAAATACCTTAAATTTTATAATTTTGTTGCCTTAAATACGAAAACGAGTCCCCTTGGCAACAAATTTATCACCGGTAAGATCACCATCGACCGCCGAAGGCAACTCTCCTGGTCGAATCGTTTTCTTATTGCCTGAAGAAGTTTGTCACCTAAACGAAGTAAATATTGCCGATTTATTATATAGGCAACAAATTGGTAAAAATTCAGTATACGAATGTGAGCAAGAAGCAAATGTTGTCTCATGTCTTGCATGATGTGTAGCTTCAAATTAAAATATGATACAGTGCCAAAAAATCATTCAATCACTTTTATATCAAGTGAAACTAACTCCCTGCTTTGTATCATGAAAAATAATACAACCCTATTTTTAAGCGGACTTCAAAAGCAATATTTTTCAATGCTCGCCCCTAATAATGCCCCTTGTATATGCGAAAAACATTTCAAACGACTTTCCGCGGCTCACTAATGCGGTCTGGATTTTTATGAAGAACTTTTATTTTATGACAAAAATACACTCAGAAGGCTTGTCATTTCATGCCGAATGTCGACCGTAATTAAAAAAATTAATTTTGGATGTTGGTCGAACCAGTGGCGAAGCACGTTTCGTACTTAGAGGATACGTATGTTAGGGGAGTTGTCACGTTTGGGTCTGCGGGATTCCTCAAATAATTAAAGAGGAAAGAAAGGAAAAAAACTTACTGTCCAATGTGCTCTTTAGACCGGAAGTTTGATTGGACTTTAGTTCTTTCAAAATAACAACGGAGCATTGTGGTCGTATGATAACCTACTCATTTCGCCTGCAACTAAAGTACACGACTCGGACAATATATAGTTTCAACAAGATGCCCCACAACACGAGAGGATATGGCCTTATTCGGAAAGAAATTTCCCGTACCCACAATCTCCCGTCTTAGCAATGATAATTGGGCACTGGAATCGTACGATTTTACAACGTGGGGCATCTTTTTGGAGGGGTTACACGAAAGATGGTGCTTATGCGGATAAACCCTTATCTTTTGAGCACTTGAAAACCAAGATACCCTATCTACAGCAATATTAATAGGTATATATGTTAGGTCAAGTAAAAAGTTCGTACGGTTTTTTTTATTGATTTTTCAAAATATGATAACTTTGTGTACATTTGTCCGATTTAAGTCAAATATGCCACTTCATTACACCCCTCTTGTAAAAGGCTGCGTTCCTGTTGGCAAAAACTCGGAGAGCCAATTTTCACAGACCTTTCTTGAGGCCGACTTCTCACCATTAAACGCGTTCGCCATGGACAGGAGTTGGTGCCAGGTCCGGACTATAAGGTGGGTGGCATTAGGTCCTCCCACCCAAACTCTTGTAGCTGCTGGCGAGTCACCAAAGACGTATATGGCCTGGCGTTGTCCTGATGGAACACGATTCAAAGATGGCCTCTTCTGGATGAGTACTACCTTCAAGCGGCCTATTTGTTGGCTGTAGAGGGCTGAATTGAGCGTTTGGTCATAGGGGAGCAGCTCGTAGTAGATGATTCCTTGCCAATCCCATCAAACACACACCGAAACCTGGTGCATCTTTGACATCGAAATTACCTGAAGGGAACCTAGCAAACCACTTTTGTGCTACACGTTCGTTTACAGTATCGGGCCCATAAACTAAATTTATTTTTTTCAGCCGCTTTGGCTGCTTATTCGCCTTAGCGAATTTTCTCTTTGCTGGTGCCCATCTTTGACGAGCGCCCACAACGTACTGAGTCAATCAATCGATGGACAATAACGCCATCTCTTAGATAAACTTTTTTATGACCTAATATATATATAAATTGATGCATCTACTTATTTGTGTCTGTGGGTCACGAAGTAAGCCAAGCGCACCATTCGGATCTAGGTTTATTCTCAAACAAATTGAACCGTAGCCGCAAAATTATGGAAATTCTAAAGGAACATACCTATCCACGATCTATGCTTATAACCAAATATCCAAACCAAAATACTTTTTATAATTCTGTCGCTGATTCCTTTACCGTAAGGAAGGTATCATTTATATTTCGAGCAAATCGAATTTGATTCCATATCTCTGTTGCATCTCCATAAAAAAAACGTTTACTCTTTAGGCAATTCATCCAAACATTTCAGTAAGACGAAAAAACGATCCACTTGCCGTAAACAAAAAGAGAGTTTCAAATAAACGTAACCATAAGTACATAACTTTTGAATAGTCCTTGATCCACTTCCTGGAGTGAAGAGCAGTTTTCCTGTTAATCGCAGGCAAAAACCAACAACGTAACAAATTTCAAGTAAATCGAACAGAAAATATGATTTTTCCAAATAGGTCAATATCTGCTTCACTTCGCAGAAAGAAGAGTAGTCTCGATTTTTGTTTTCGTTTAAACCTTCCCATAAACGATAGAAATAATCGGAAAAAATGTCAAACTCCCATTGAATGGTAACTTTGAGAAAATACCGTCCATGCCATGCCATGCCATGTCGAAAACAACTCTCCAATAGAAATAACGAGGAGTAAAAGCAATTCATAGGGTTCAAAGTGCATTTTTCGTTTTATTGAGCAGACCTTTATCTGTATTACCTGAGAAAAAGGTAGTTATTATAAATCATGCCTGTACGAAAGGAAAGTGTTTTTTGGGTTTGGTAGGCTAAAATTAATAAGTGACTTCAGCTAAACGCAATGATATAGAAATATATATTACGCATATATACATATGCACATGTATGTAGGAGTATGTCTTGCCCTTGTTTGGCTTAATCACGATTTTTTTTAAGTGCGATAAGAAAACTGAAATATACAAAATGATTGAAAACCAAGAAAAAATCCGATAAAAATGTCAAACTCAAATTTAAAGAAAACCACAAACAATAGTATAACAACTATAACAACAAGAATGCTAACTGAAATAATCCCAAGCAGCACTGTTGAGCCAACAATATCAGCTATAACAACTTCCCAAACAACACCACCGCAGCCCGCATTCGAAATGACACCCTCAATGTTGGCCATACCAATGAGGAGAGGCCGTCGAACAGCTCCACATGTCGATACACCCTCACTCACCCATCGGCATCCTTTGAATTTGCAAGTTGTTGTTGGCTTGCAGGCGCCACCGGTTGGTCCAAGCACTCAGGAACTCACCTGCCCCAATTGTCTGCAGCCTGTGCGCACACTGGTTGCATATGAACAGGCGCATGGACGCATTTGTATGAGCATTTGCGCGTTGCTATGCATGTGAGTTTTTAATTATAACTGGAAAACCACTGAATTACACGTATTTTGTTATACTCATATGTAAATATATATATGTATAAATGTACCTGCGAAATAGTTGCTATTCATTATCGAATTTCAGTGGCTTTTCGATCTAAATTCCCAGAAATACTACAATGATACCGACTCATTTTTCACTTTGTCAGGAGATTAATAGGTATGTTAGTATAAATATATGTACATATATGTATTGTATTTGCAAAATAAATATACATATATGTGTTGTATTTGCAAATATATTATTTTCATATCTCTGTCCGTGATTCGTTACTCGTAGGCAAGTCAATATCGCGTTATCACAAACGGTTTGTGCTTTGGATATACAGTGTGGTGCAAAATTAAGCAGAAAATAGAATAAAGACCAAATGGTGTAAAAAATTGCAAATAACAAAAAACAAAGTATTTCCACTTTTGATTGTTAATAAAATCTATATATAATGTGCTTCAACCGAATTTTTTATTATGCTCCAAGGTGAATTTATGTCAGCTTTAATTGTCACATTATTAGGCCTATTCTCACTGTTGCCGGTAAAAAAGGGTAATTTTTATATCGCAAACTTCCTAACAAGCAACTTTTTCTTTCTTCTTTCTTCATTTTTCTAAAATATGCTTACCCATTTTATTTTTGTTTATTTTTTTCAGAAACTAACAACAGAAAATCGAACATATGATTGATTTTTACCTCCTATTTCGCTGGTAAAAAATTTTGCAGAGTGACAGTGAACTTAGAATACGAAATAGTAACAAAATTTACTGCATGGTAAATTTTAATACCGAAGTAAATTTTGTTAGCTCGACAGAATAGGCATGTATATGACTGCTTGCTCTTCCTTCCTTTCGGCAAATTCCGAACGCAAAACTACATAAACAAAATACTTTCGATTTAGTGATTACCCGACAAAACACCTGAGTTTTTTTTACCTTCTGTGAATTTGCCTTGCTTCAGGCGAGTTCAACAAGGTGGCGTTACTATGGCAGCGAATTCAACTTCTTTGTATTTGGTATTGTGAATGTGCACACCTTGCCATGACTTTGTCAATACCCTTGATAAAAGCACAAAAAATTCATTTCGCTGTCATCTTAATATTGAGGCTTGGTCATTAAATGTTTCCTAAAAAGTCCATTTAATTATTTTTATTTTTATGAATTGGAATTTTACCAAGCAGTTAAAAAATGCGCGAAGGGAAAAAACTATTGTACTACCATTCACCTGGGAGTGGCCAAAAGTTTTACCTTTGCATGGCTCACAACTTCGAACTTCCGATCTTTAACCAAGCATCCTTTGTACAGCCAACAAACATCCATTTGCAGGCGAACTAAATTGAGATGACAAATCCCATGCGGTGGTGAGTAGGATTTGAGACGGACCACATAAGAAAATATATTCTAAGGAAAAACCACAAAATGGCCCTTCTGATGCGACCCCCGCAAATACCATTTGAGAGCATAAAGCTGAAGTGGAAGGTGCGGCTGGTTAGCTAGTAGATAACCTCGCTAAACTAAAAGCTGATATCAGCGCCATCCAAAGAGTTCGTTGAATGGAAGAAGGACGGAAGAAAGTGAGTCCTTACAAAATATAGTACAGCGACCATATTAAAGAGCGAAAATTTTGTTTCGGAATTGTGATGGGAGAGAAACCTCGCAGTCGAGTACTGAAATTCATTTCGTTGAATAAACGTCAACGTCACAATCGTCACAAGAACAAAATTTCTCAACACATCGCTTATTTCCGCCCATGCCCCGATGAAAAAATGAGGGTATGACCATGAAATGAGCGCCTGGCGCACATTTATGAGCACTGGCCTCGCCACAATTTCAAAAGTGTTCTATGTGACTTTAACACCAGAGTGGACAAGAAAGGAATCTTCGACACAACTGCCAGTTAATTCAGTCTTCATAATTAAACATCCCTAAAGGCGCTGAGGGTGGGACTGGAATGAGTAGGCCATTAAAAGTAAAGTCCTCTCGAAGAAGAACCAAAAACCAAACTCTACAAGCCCCTCATCATACCCCTTCTGCAATATGATGCAGAAGCGTACACGATATTCACATTCGATGGATCGGCATGAGAGTCTTCGAGAGTAAAGTTTTACGAACGATTTATGGTTCTTTGCATTGAAATTATCGGGTGGAGGACGATATTGATTCACTTGGTATTTCCAACATACGAGGTGTGTTCAATTTTTACCTATTCAAAAAAAATGGATCAATGAACCTGTATCAAATTTTGTGTGAAAAACGAAATTAAGTGCGCGGATGCATCCCGAATGTTGACTGTGGCATACGGAGAAGCTACCTTGGACCGAAGCAACGTTTATCGGTGGTGCAAAATGTTCTCAGAAGGCAGAGAAGATGTGAACGACGAAGACCGTGCTGGACGCCCGAGCACTTCAACAACAGACAAAAAAATAATTGTAGGGGCGTCATGAGTCAATAAGGAGTATTACCTGCAAGTTATGCGCAATTTGTGAGAAGCAATCCGCCAGAAACGCCCGGATTTGTGGAAGAACAAAAATTGGCTTTTGCACCATGATAACGCCCCTGCTCACACATCGTTGCTTGTGCGCAACTTTTTGGCCAAAAACAACACACTAAAGCTGCCGCAGCCACCGTATTCCACAAATCTGGCCCCTGTGACTTTTTTTGGTTCCCTAAACTGAAGAGGCCCATGAAAGGACGGCGTTACGCTACGGTTGACGAGATAAAGACGGCGTCGAAGGAGGAGCTGCACAAGATAAAAAAATGATTTTTTGAAGTGCTTCGAAGATTGGAAAAACCGTTGGCACAAGTGTATAATATCTCATGGGGATTACTTTGAAGGGGACAAAATAGATATTCATGAATAAATAAATAATTTAAAAAAAGAAAAATACGAAATTCGCGATATTTTTTCAACACACCTCGTACGCCAGACAGCGAAGATAAGAAACGAGTGACAAGCTGTTGTTGATTTGTTGTTGTAAGCGGTACCCATCCGCCGCCTGGCGATTAAAAATACATATTTCGATTTGCTTTTCGGCTACAAACGCTTAAGATGCATTATTGCTTATCCAAAAGCTTCTAAAATTTTATATAAAACACTACACACTATTTCAACATAATTTTAATCTGATTAAAGGTTAAGTTAAAAAGAATTTTCAATTAAAAAAACTGCAGATTTTAAGTATCAAAATTATCTCATTTTTTAGAGAGTCATGATCACAGCAAGACAATGCACTTCTGCCACCATATCATAATTTTCTACGACGATCAGATGAGTCAGTTTACACTTACGTAGGCTGAGGGACGACCACAATTGGATAAATTAATTTTCCATAATTTTCGATGTTGCTCGGCCCAGAACTCGAACCCTGGCCATACAAATGACAGTACGTATAGCTAACCACTCGGCAATTGTGAATGACTGACGAATCATACCACTAATTTTCGTATATTACGTAGATATACGTTAAGAAAGGATTTGGAAATGGATCTGAGACCGAATTATTCTAAATAACTAGAACTTATTTTTGAAGCGTTAGATTTACATGAAATTTGGTTCAGGGGCAGTTCTTGGCCTAAGTTAACATGGAGGACACTTCTTCTTCTGGGAATTGGACCATGAACCGATCTATTCGAAAAAATAGTAAATTTAAAATTAAAATTTCTTCCGAAAGTTCTACTATTACATCTCGATATAATACGGGGTTGGACTACATTTAAGAGTTTTTGGAGAAATTCAAATCAGGAAGTAAATTCTATGTTTATAAACATTTCGACCCCAGCACCACCTTGCGTTGAAAATTTCTTTTAAAGCGCATATGCAGAAAATTCGAACAGTGATGGCAAATTTTCATAAAAATCTTTTTAATATTTTGTTTATTGAAAAACCTTCCCCATTCTCACGTTTTGTAGAAATTTCCGCTTTTGTTTACAAAATTGCTTTAGATTTCTTAACCTCTACAGAAGCAGTTTTATCAGGGTTTTAAGTAATTTTGGGTTGATAAAACTCCACTTCAACTACCGTTATCAAATGATTAGCTGTATTTAAAATGATTTACAGTACTTTCTTTCGAAAATATGCTCTTTATACTGACACGCAGGTAGAGATATATTATATATTTAGATTTGTTTATAATAAATTTTTGCAACTGAAAACGCTCTGTCGGAAAGCTCCATACAACCTGTGTTGCCACATGGGGCTATTTATCGCCAATTTGGATATATTTCTTACATAGCGAAGATCAATTTTCGATTTCAATTAATTTTTCGTTGAATTGAAAATACTTTATTTATCCTTACAATCCTTGAACTCGATAACCTTTTGCCATTTTGAGGTAAGTATTATTTTTCCTCTTTAATAGAAATCCAGGTCTCTAGTGGCGAAAAATTGGGACACTCGATTTTTACAGGCTTCTCACCACCCAAAGAATTCGCCATAGAAAGGAACAGATGATAATCGCTTGGTGCGAGGTCCGAACTATACCATAGATACATTTAAGAGATCTATCGACCACGCTCTCGGTGCTTCTGGCGAGTCACTATAGATTTACATGATCTGATGAAACACAGTTCCTCTCCTATTGGACAAAGATGAGCGCTTCCGCTAGCTTCCTTGTCATCCTACCAAGCACACAAAAAAACCTTCTCGACCGTCAATGTTGGCTTGAATGCCGTTTTTGCCCTTCGATCACGATTTGCTTATGATTAAATTGCGATTCGGACTTGGAAAATTGATCCTTGAGATTTCTCGTTAACCCATGTGGCTTCAACTTTTTTTGCGCTCAAGTACTACTGATCTAAGTGATCAATTTAACCCCGTGCCCACTATCTTTTTTAGTACAAAATATTATCGTGTTAAACCATCGATGACTACAGACTTTCTTAGCCATCTATTGCCAAAACAATCGATTACTTTTTCCTAGATCTAATATTTTTATTTCTTTACAAAAAAATATGAAATTTGTTTATTAATTTTAAGAAAATTTATTTTAAAACAAAAATTTATCGCCAATTATTCTAAATTTTACTGTCAGTTTGGCAAGTATGATGAATGTAGTGAACGATACCCACGCATGGTAGTGCTACTTCGGATTACATGTGTGCTGCGGGCACAGAATAAATTCTGGCAACACTGCCTGCAAATCTTCTGCCTCCCAGTTTTCAG